GAAGGTCTAACCATTTGAAGATATTATTACAAAGGCAGCACCTTCTCCTCAGTTATTTTAAGACCCCGAGTGTTGGTCCGGCCGAGGCTTGAAACACGACCTCCCGCACAACAGACCGACGCTCTTACCAACTGAGCTAACCGGGTGGCGGTATTCTCCAAGTTACGATTATAGGCATATCGCGTTCCTTTTTATATCACAAATTTCAATACTTTACTTTTAATTGAATCTAGTTCTCGGACTAGCTCGTAATTCCTTTGGTCAAGCGACGAGCATCGATCGGTTAGAAAGGCGCACTGGCTAGCAAGGGACGAACACTGTTTCGTAAGTATCGTGTTTTGTTCGGTGAGTGATGAATTCTGTTTAGTGAGCGATGAACATTGTTTGGCCAGTAACATCATGTGTGCAGCCATGTTGTYTYGTACGTGTTTATCGACATCTTGTCGTTCAACTTGGACTGAACATCCCTGATCCTTGAATGGACAGTCCAGTATTGTCTTGGCACATGTTGTGGTCAGATGGTTGATCAGGTCAATTCTAAAATTAACAGAAACGACATTCATTATATATATAGTATATTTATTCAAAATATTTGAACCTAAGAAACATAATCCTATCTTGGCGMCATGGGCAGAGCAGCGCTACAGCTACATTTCATCCATTTCTCCATTTTACCATAACTTGGAAATTTCTCGAGCGCTGATTGGCTTAGAACCATTGTCGATTAGATGCTAGACCTGCTTGTGCTTACGACATCCGTCACGCGCACTGAGCGAGCAGATGTAACGGCTTTTATAAGCTATTTACTTGTCTTTTTGTTCAATTTTTTCGACTTTGTTATGGTAAAAAACAAATCAAAGTCAGTTTTCAATAGGTCTGTCTCGCTGCGCTCGTGGTTCCACTTGAGTTTGGATCATTTTTGACGTCATTTCATGTTCGATTACAGTACAGACCYATAAAAAACTGACTTCGATTTGTTAATTCGACCACTAAGTATCCATGCATGTATCTATCAATCCATCTACACATTTAGATGGACCCTTCCTTTAATCCATCCACCCATGCACATATTTGCATACATCTACCCCCCATTAATCCCTCCAATTATTCATCCATCCATCTATGCATCCATCCATCCACCCACCTACCAACCCTCCTACCAAGCCATACACCCACCCGTCCATCCATGACCCAAAAACCAATCAATCAATTTATTCAGCTAGAAGACACAGCTACAGAGACTTGATGTGATGACAAAGTAAGACATACCAGTGGTGGATCCAGCTATGGGGTGCAGGGGGTGCGCAACCCCCCTTCCCCTGAGAGAAGCTGACATTTTAAGAATTGTTGCCTATTAATCTTAAAGGCCGGTTTAGACGGTACGATTTTCGCCTACAACTATCGTATACAACACGCTCGCGCCATCCTACAACTCGAGTCGTAGCGTGTAAATCAAGCCTACAACTCGCCTACGACAGACGCGAGCGTGTTGTATACGATAGTTGTAGACGAAAATCGTACCGTCTAAACCGGCCTTAAT